TAAGCCTTCTTTCCTTAGGAAATCAGGCTAAAAATTAGTCTTTTGACAGAGACCTCTGCAGAGACCTCCGATCAGGCTACAGAAAGAGAAAGAAAAGTAAATCTTGCTGTTTACCATGTAAAGGCTTCCAGTTACCTGCTGCAACAGGTTTTTCATAAGTAAGGCTAAGCCAGTGGTTGGTGTTTACTCACTTGGTTACCTTCTCATCTTCAGCAGTGTCCCCATCTGGCTTTGGGAACTTGGGGGTTTGGGTTTGTTGGGTTTTTTTGCCAGAGTGCACTTGTGCATCAGTCGCTTTCACTTATTTTTAATTTAACCTTTATACTTGAATGAATGGCCATGTAGGCAGTAAGACAAGCTGTTAGAGGCTTGTGGTTTACGGGACTCTGTTTTTGTCAGTGATGCCGTGAAAAATAAAGGCTTTAGGTGCGGCCAAGGATACAATCCTATTACTGTAGAAAAGCTAGACTTGAGGGTTCCACTCTATAGCATCTTCGTTCTGAGACTTTCACTCTGGAATAAATGCTAGGGTATTTTACTGTTTTCCTCTCTTTTGTAACTTTACACATAAGCTCCTATTACCTTAGAAACTAAAATAAACAATTTGTAAAAGGAAAAACTGGTGTATTTCAAATTTCTGGGTGGATGCCAGTTTATTACAGATGGGTCCAGCTACTAACAAACTTTGCAGGTTTGTTCAGATTTTGTCACTATTCCGAGCTTATCTTGACCTCTGATGAGTTCATGAGTTCTCTCATGAATGCCTCACAAACTCCCTAACAGGGCAGCTGGATCCCAGAGCCCAGCCACCCCAGCTTCTTGAGTCTCCTGCCAGTCACCTGGACCTTGTAATAAGTCTGTTGTGTCCCCGGATGTGAACTTTTTTCCTTGAACTACTTTACAGCTTGATGAGTTCCCCCATTCTCTGACCCTGTCATTACAGAAATGCTGGTGCTGGAGCAGAGGAGCAGGGAGGGGAGCAGTCAATCAGGTTGAGCAGGAAATGTAGGACTACCCTTCCAAGAGTCTCCAGGTTTAGTCTGGATTACAATGACCATGCATAACAAAGCATCATTCTGTGAGGGGAGTAAAGGGAAGAGGGAGAGAAGGAGGGAAAACATGTCCATATGACTCCAGGAACTCAGTTCTAGTCAGACCCCTCCAGCTTTTTCTCCTGATTGTGAGGTGTAATGAACTTTGGAGTAGTGCTGGCTCCTGCTTGGTGATCTCCGTTTTAACTAGTCAGCTCTGTCAGGTGTATCGGATGGTAGGGGATGGATGGAGAAGCTGTGGCTGGGTAGAGAAGGAACCAGAGATGTGATGCGTGAGTTACTACAGTGTGTGATTGCACTGCTTTGTAACCCCCAGTGGGTCAATGTAAAAATGGGTAAAATTGTCTTCACTGTAGAGCAAGATTGAAGGTCTTCGCAGAAAGACTTACTCTACAGAAGCCTTAACTCTCAGGTATAAAGCAAAGGTATGTTGAAAATAGAGACACAAGTCAATGGAAAGCAAATTTTCCTGATGTGACCCCCCCACCAGCGAGACCTAACATGATTGCACCATCCTGGCTTCTAAGGACCAGGTCCTTAGAACAAGCAGCTGTTTAAGCTTTAATGGCTTGGTCATCTTGTAGTTGATAGGGCCTTCCTTGTTTAGGGAAGTGTTGTTCTGGAAACCAACTGTATTTCTTGTTTGCTATCAACTGGTCCCTGTCTCATTCCTGAGTTTAAAAAGACGGGAGGGGAGAGAGGGAAGTGAGCATTCATCTATAGACAGAAAAAAATACTGCTTCTATAGAGAGTTTCCCTGGTGACAGCCATTAGCTGCTTTGTGGCACCCCTCGGACAATTGGCCTGCTAAATGCCAAGTCTTTCTGCTTGGGAGATCCTCCTGCCCTGGTGATCACATTGCAAGTGGCAAAGTTAAAACAAAATGGAATTTGAGATCACCTGTCAAATTGTCCACGCAATTTAAAAAAAATATTTCCTGTGGTTGCAGTGTCTCCTTCAAACAGATGCAGCTAGCTGGGATTCTAACAGCACCAAAAAAAAAGGGAAATATTGGGAATTGCAAAGGAATTGGAAGAAATTTATTTAGATTAGGTATCAAGAAGAAATTCTTCACTCTGAGGGTGGTGAGGCACTGGAACAGGTTGCCCAGAGAAGCTGTGGATGCCCCATCCCTGGAGGTGTTCAAGGCCGGGCTGGATGGGCCTTTGAGCAACCTGCTCTAGTGGATGGTGTCCCTGCCCCTATCAAGTCCTTTCCAACACAAACCATTCTGTGATGCTATGAAGGAACTCCAAAGCTTTCTGCCTTAATACTGGAAGTTCCCTAAATTTCTTTTAAACCGCTAACAGTACCGTCAGAGGAAGCTCAGTACTAGAACACCCTTTAAGGTCCCTTCCAACCCAAGCCACTCTGTGAAGAGGACAGCTGGCTGCACTGCCATTGTCCCTGTGCCGTGGTGTCACCGTTCCGATGTTCACACTTTCTCCCCACACTCGGGCTTTGCCATAATTATTCCTCCATTAAACTCTTCACCCTTTCCACTCCATTTTTTCCCCTCGTTGCTTCCTTCCGGCTTGCCGCGTTGGAGACCCCTACCACTCGCTTTGTATTCTCCGGGCTGCCTTTGTTCTCTCCTCCCCTCCCCTCAGCCGGTGCCGTTCCCCGGCCGCCGAGGGTCCCGGCTGACCCCGCGGGATCCCGGGGCTGCCACCCCGCCGCCGGCTCCGCAGGGCCCCGCTGTGCCCGGCCGCGGGGGGTGGGATTCCGCAGCCGATTCCGCAGCCCGCCTACAGCTTGCTCATCGAGCCTTCCTAATTACAAGCAATTAGCGGCCGCGACCCGAGGTGACCGAGCACGCGCCGTCGGCGGAGGCCCGGAGAGCCGCCCCGCCTCAGCCGCCGGGCCGGCAGCTGCCGTACAACATGGCGGCGCCCATCGCCCGCTCGCGCCGCCGGGAAAGAGGAAGCGTCCGCCTCTCTAAGCCTCCCGGTGCGCGCGGCGGCTGCCCGGTGGGGCGTTCCCGCCGCCGGAGACAGCCGTTCCGCGGAGGGGCAGGCAGGTAGCGAGCGAGCGGGCAGGCGGCGGCGGCC